ACACGTAATAATATGCGTATCGTAAAAAAAATACTATTTAAACTGCTTGCGAACCGAGATTTCCGGACGTACACAATCGTTTTCACCGAAACACGACGCGCGACGGACGAATAATACAAAAAAGAAATCATTATATCGGTACACGGCGACGGCGGCGTGTATAAAAAACGTTGTTTAGAGCGAAATCTATTATGACGCACCTGCAGTCCTAAAGACCCGTGTACCTAAATCGTATTGTCACTAATAGTTATTAAAGTCTTAATTTTTTTACCGGTATTGGACTCTTTAAATACATCATGATCATATTGAATATTCCTTGTAACAAAAACAACAACAAAACAGTAACAAAACGCATAAATAATTTGTAAAATACCACTTCCGAGATAACCATTTTGTAATCGACCGTTTTTCTTGATCCGGAGCGTCTATCTTATGTCTTGCCACCTCCTCCATCCATTCACTAATCTGGTTACTTGTACGTAATAAACAGACAATAAGCGAAACACGGCGAATAATTAAGAGATTAACCGCTTAAACGTTTACTCGATTTTAAATCCTAATCAATTTAAAAAAATTCGAAACGTGTAAAAAAAAATTAGATGTCGCGTGTGTTTTATAACAATATGATACTTGACCGATTAAAATAATAATTAATACGAAAACGAGTTTTCGATTGTAATTATAAAATATTTGACTCGCGTCTTGCAGCGGGGTCAGGCGTGGCGAATGAGTCCTGTAGAATACGTCGCGCAGACGGTGTTCACACGCAAACGGCAAAATATCGTACACAAGTAAATAGAAAATCGTAACGCAAGAGCGGATCGTATTGATTCGGAGTTTTCACGCTTGCCAGTCGGAAATCGATAAGGTGCGGTGATCGAGTTCCTCTAGAGGAACAACCTCTCCGGAACGCCGTGGCTGACGCCTATATGAAAACACGCCCAAGATCAACGGCGAACGGGGCGATCTTTTTACTATTTCCGAAAGTGTTTAACGTGTATAACACGTTAGCACAACGTAACAATGTAAAGTTACGGTTTTATGATTTTGTAGACTGGGCTGCGTGACGTCCGTTCATCGGGACGTCTGAACGTCGATGAAATTATCAACGAATTGACATTGAACCCTAGACGAATAGATTTTACAGTATGAAATTTAAAAAAAAAAAAAAAATATTCATTATTGTCGAAATCATTTTTTCTTAACGCGTTATTTGCAGTATCGAATTGAATTTTCAATCCGGTGTGCGATCGGGGGTCGTGGGTAGCGGATCGCCTCACTTACGCGCGTGGCAATTTAGCTGGACCCCCTCCTAACGAAAAACGCCTAAACACGCCACCGACACCGACGCTCGGTTAAGAGTAACTCCGCGTGCGCCAGTGTTTTTTTTTTTCGCGAACAGTCGAATTTATTTAAACCGGTTTGCCGCGCGCACCGCCGGCAACGGCGTGCGCAGGGCTACGGGGAGGCCACGCGTCCCCCGCGTTGTTTCGAGAATACACGGACAAGCGGACAACCGGTAAATCGTACGCCGGAACGCGCATATTTACCGCGGCGTCTGCGTGCGCGTCCGTCTGATAAGAAACCGGGGATTTCGTGTTTACGGTGTGAACCGCGTCTGCCGGTCGGTCCGCATGACGATCCGGTCGCGCGTTCGGCGGAGAAGCCGATCCGTTCGCGGTGCTCTTTTCCGCCGCGTCCGCTCCCGTCGAACATTCCCCGCGCGCGCTTTACCGGCCGCCGGCCACGCGCTTCGAAGACGCCCGTGCGACAACTCAAAGCGCGCCGAGTCGCCGGACGGTTGCGCGTCGCGTTGACGGCCGCGGAACAGCGCACGCCTCGTCGCGCGTATAGTTTTCGAATGTGAACGCGCGCGCGTGTCCGTTTCGTTTCCGTTATGCGGACCGTAACGAATTTTTTTTATCGCGGAGCTTTTTTCCGTTCGTTCGTCGGGCCGACGCGAATCCGCCGAAGCCCGTAACGCGTTCATGACGCGTCGGCGATATTTTATCGAACCCGACGGTGTCTGTAAAAAAAAAAAAACCCGGCTCGGATTCGTCGTCGTTATCGCGCGCAAATGGAAAACGAGATACGGTGCGGCGCGTAAAAAAAAAACGCTCGCGAACAGTTATTTTTTACGCGTATAGGGGGTAAACACGTTATTGGAAAAAAAAACACAAAAACAAACGTAATTCTTTAACACCGATATCGGCGTTCGCGGTCGTCGCGTGCGCCCACGTAACGTTGTGACTCGTATTCGCGGCAACGTCGTCGCGGACGCTGATCGTCATTACGGACCATTGACAAACCCGACCGTTTTGTTGTTGTTTGTTTGTTTGTTTTTTTTTTTTTTCTCTGATACGAATCCGTATTCTATCGTACTCGCAACTACAAGCGTGCTGCAATTCACGGGCGCACAAGACTGAATCTCTACACGGTTGTGCAAATCGTCGACCGTTCATATCCTTGTCGCCGAATTTCGACTTGCCTACGCGCGTGCAGAAAGCTATTGAATGCTGCGAAAATTACACGCTCCCGCGCGTCGCCCTCGACGTTTTCGCCGTCGGTTTTGTTACACGCGCGGTGTTTCGATGTCAGTTCGTTCGGTTTTCGGAACCGATTTAAAAAACCAATAAAGGAGCGTACGCGAACAAAACGGTATTTCAAAATTTTATTTTTTTTTTTTTTTTTTTTTAGTAATGTCAACAGCGCATGCACATTACAATATGTGTGTGTGTGTGTGTGTATATACTGTTTATTATTATTATTATATTTTTTTTTTAATAAATTTCACGAATGTGATTCGAACAAGTCGCGCCTCGAATAGAATATTGTAATATTTATCGTTTTCGCAAGGTTTAATGTGTCGTAAATACATATATATATATATATATATATGTATATGTATATGCAGATTGAAAGAAATGTGATATTGCGATGCGTACGGAATAAATCTATACGGGTACGCGTATAATAAACGTCTCTGGATTTTTTTTATTATTATTATTATTATCATTCTCGTTGTTAATAAACAAAATGTACCCGCGCGTCTAGCATATTATAGCCGTTTAATAATACGACGCGGTAATACGAAATACGATTTTGGAATTTACATTGGATATGCGCGGGCATAGCGTAATAGGATTTTCGCGTCAAATGTAAAACTTTAAAAAATTATTATTTACAAAATATAACCTCGTGCGTATTAGCTGTTAACCGGAGCACAGGATAGTTTCGTGTAATTTTTTATCGATCACTCGTAATGTAGTTTACAAGCGCCCGTATATAATGGACGCAATACGAAGTCGGACGACGATAATTAACTTGATCGAGTAACGTTATTTACATAAACAAACGAAACGACCCGAAATCAGCGGTTGAGTTTTTACTGGATGGAAAATTACCGGTCCCCTATGGTCCGGGGGGTGGGGGAGCGGAGAGGCGCTTCGTTTATTGTCACTGAGACATTTTTAAATAACTGTTAGACCGCACTCGAAATCAGACTCCGTTCAGTTTTATTTTTACCGAGTGGGCGTGGGATAATATTTGAGAGAGCTAGTAAAGTCTAATGTTTACACGGCTAAAATGCAAAACAAATGTCGACTCGGCACTGTTACGTTGTTGTGGTATTTATCAGACTGGCTTTGAACTCTGCGTGCGTTTTCGAACAAGTCGGTTTGTCCCCGCTCCGCGCCGACGTACCGATAAATCGGGAATCAACAATCTGTCGAAAAATGGCCAGTATCATAAAACGCGTACGGGGTACGGGGCGTCGAAAAAAAACGGCGGAGAGCGGCGTCANGGGGGAGCGGAGAGGCGCTTTGTTTATTGTCACTGAGACATTTTTAAACAACTGTTAGACCGCACTCGAAATCAGACTCCGTTCAGTTTTACTTTTACCGAGTGGGCACGTGCGTGGGATAATACTTGAGAGAGCTAGTAAAGTTTAATGTTTACACGGCTAAAATGCAAAACAAATGTCGACTCGGCACTGTTATGTTGTTGTGGTATTTATCAGACTGGCTTTGAGCTCTGCGTGCGTTTTTGAACAAGTCGGTTTGTCCCCGCTCCGCGCCGAATCAACGGATCCCCGGAATCAACAATCTGTCGAAAAATGGCCAGTATCATAAAACGCGTACGGGGTACGGGGCGTCGAAAAAAAACGGCGGAGAGCGGCGTCACGCGCGGTCGGATGCGCGGAGGCGCGCGTGGGGACAATGCAACGCGGCGGCCCCGACTTGGAAATCCAGACGGCTCGGCCGGCGCTCCGGCGGCGCGGTCGGACTCTGAAGTCGACCGTCTGGACGGGTAAAAAACGTTCAATCCGGAGCCGGTCCGCGGCTGCATTCCAACAGCTCCACGACCACGGACAATACGTCCACGCGCACCGTCCCAATAGTGTTTTCGGGTGTAATTCAAAAGCGAACGAAAACGTCAATCGAAAAACAATTACAATACACGTGGACCGGTGGTTTTCGCGAGCCGCCGTCCGTCGTTCGGGCCGAACGATAAATTCACGTACAATTCTAAAGTTTCCGTATCGTGTCCGTCGCCGTCGTGTCTCGTCTCCCGTCGTACTCGAGCACTCGTCGTATTTCGCTGTTTGCAAATCACTCGCGGAGCGTTGCATTTACACGCACTTTTCGTGTTCTCGTTTCAAAACCCCCCGTGCAGATCCGCGTTCTTTTTTTGGCGACGGGCAATACACAACACAATCGAAACATCATAGAGATATACGACATAAAATACGTTACGTACGCAATTCAATTTATGGCAAATCGCGATGCACGCGCTGTGAACACGAACGTCGTGGTGGACTGCCGACGGGTTTTCGAGTAAAAACACGAAAATCGTTTTTTCTCCCCGGGTACCACTTTGACCTCGCGTGTTAGACGTCTGATTTTCGGCAAACGCGAATGGTGTACGAGGCGCAGCTCATTACGCGAAACGTACTCACTTTGAAATAAACTGTTGGGAATTCCGTCGAATTATCGTACAAAATGCGTAATACGCGTCGTCTAATGCGTGCGCGTGCAATCGAAAAAGATAACGGGCCGTTCCTGTCGAAAAGTAGAGATAAGAAACACGTCTCGGTAGAGTTCGTATGACTGAACACGAAACAGCCTCATTTCCCGCGGTCGGAACGTGAAAAACCGCGTGTACGGTAACAGTCCGGTAACAACAGTCCGGCCGTGCGTGGCGTTGTGCGGCGGCGGCGATGGCGAAAGGAGTAGGAGGAGGAGTAGTAGTAGAGATGGACGTCCGTACCGTCCGGACACGGGAGACGGAGGAGAAGAAGAAGAAGAAGAAGAAGAAAAAATACGAAAATTTCAAAAAAAAAAACCCGACGCGCTTAACAAGCGTGCGTGCGCAGGCGCCCGCGCGACGGGCAGTTTGTCATCGGGGTCCTTAATGACCGGCGTTGTACGGACGCTGGACCCGACGACGTGACGTCGCGTGTAACCCGTACGACGGTACACCGCGGCCCGTACGCTGCGCCGTCGGCCGCGTTGATGATGTTTATATTAGTACCTCGTTTTCCGTAAACAGCCGTCGCGAGACTAATGAAGTCGAATTTTTCATCGGCCGGACGAACCGGGGGGAGGAGGGGGGGGGAAACGGAAAAAACAAAACAAAACAAAACGAACTATCCGAAACTGCTTATAAATATCGCGCGCGCGAGCGTGTGTACGGTCGTTATACGCGCGCGGGGAGCGACGGTATTTATTCTCGACGGAAAGCGCGCCGCGCGATATTATTACGGTCCGCGGGCCCCGGGCGGCGTTCCGTCGGCGCGGTAACCGTCACAGCGCGCGACGCCGTCCCGGGGCTTTCGGACGTACGGCCCGTTCGTAACGCGACGCCGTGCCGTGCGCGCGGCACCCCCGCGCGGGTGAAACATACGCGGCGCGGCGTTTACGGAGCGCTCGCGGACGAGACGCTGCGTGGCCGGCCACTAGCAACGCGCTACGAGACGCAACAAGTGTTTCACGCGCGCGCGCCCTTCGCGCACGGCGCGCTTGTCGTACACGAGGAGCGTCCGGGTCCGACGCGATTATTGTCAATTTTCTCGTTCGGCCGTGGCGGTAGAGGACGCTCAGCCGCTAGGCCCCGGTTCGCGGAAATGTAGACACGATAAAAAAAAAAACAGAAATAATAAAAGGCTCCGGCGGGTGCGTCATACCGTTGCGGGGACAGATTTGAAAATTCGCGATTCGCGCGCCCTGTTTCCGCGGTCTTCTCAAACGCGAATCTAAATGTTTTCGACTATTTCCGCGCGGTTTTGTTGAATACTTTCGTACGAACCTGAAACCGTACGCCGTACAACTCCGCGGTTATCGACGGCTCGGACTCGGACACGGTGTCCGGCGGCCGGCGGGCGCGCCGATTCGATGGCACGGCGCGCGCTCCGTGTCCGCGTCCCGTAACGCAAACGCGTATTTACGGCGACGTCGTCTCGGTCGCGCGATTCGTTTCGGACGCGGGTGGCCGGCCGCATAGCGTCTCGTCCGAAAGCGCTCTGAAACCGTCACGGCGCACAGTGTGTCGCAATAATATAGCGCGCGCGGCGGCGGCGGCGGCGGCGGCAGCGATTACAACGCGCGGACAAGTGATTCCGGTACGTTGTAAACGTACCTTTACGTCGTCCTTTACGACAACGCTTTCGGTTGGTTCGGGTCGGGTCGGGTCAGGTACGCCGTACTACACTGTCGAGCGCGGTGCGCACGCGCGCGTATAACAGAACGATCTGCCGGCGTTCGCCCCGAGACGCTGTACGGCAACACACAAAATATCGGTAACACGGAGAGGCCGTCGACTGTTTCCCGGACTTTTCCGGACGCGTTCCGAAAAACGCCGGTCCCGACGTACGGCGTGACGTCGCCGTCGCTCTTCCTCGCCCGTATTTCGGTGTCGGAATTTCGGAAATTCCCGCCGACCCGTCGACGGAAGTTGTTCGGCCACGGGCCCGGGTAATCCGTCGGTCGTAGGGGACCGCTGTTCGAACGTCGCGCGTCGCACAAATGATGCGCCGCTACATCGCCCGGGAAGGTGACGTTTTGGTCGAGGTTTTTCGTGGGGACGTTTTGTTAAAAAAAAAAAAAAAAAAAAAACAGTCGCTTTAACCGGTTGAATTATTCCGAATGTCCCGTTACCCGTTGACTGAAATTCAACATAAGAATAAATTATATAAACTAAAAATTCATCTATTGATGGAATTTTCGTTTCGGCGGTATACTCTCCTAGAAACGAAACTCTAAAAACAGTTCGTTAGATTATTTTTTTTCCCGAAAACACTATTTCGGTTACTGAAAACGCTCCGGATCATTCACACCGTACCTCGAAAGATCTTAGGAAAGACCGATGGTACGTTGTTTGAACAGTTTTATTCGATTCCCGACCACTTTTCTACAATTTAAAAAACTGACAATGAATGACTATGCATCGGTTTTTTTTTTTTTTTTTGAGTTTTGGGATTACTTCGGTTCAAATAAAGCAAAAAAATACGACCGCTACTAATAGTGTTTACCGGAGCTCAGTTCTGAATCGTTTTTCTACTGCAACGATTTTGGTAAATAAACTAATTGATAACCATGTAACCTTCAATCCAATCTACCGACAACAGTGGCTTACCCAAAGTACGTCCGGTTTTTTTTTTTTTTACGGTTTAATCTCGTGTGTTTTCAATGTCGATAATATGTGACCATGCAGACATACGGTCGAATACTGCACTATAAAACGATTACACGACGATTTTTTCGTATCTGTGGTATTATAAAGCTTATGTAAAACCAGTGTTTTATTTTAGTTTTCGTCGGAACAGTAATAAAACGATTACATGATTTATGAAATGTTAACTGCCTCGGTATTATTCATAAAAAATACACGGTCATTTGATGTTGAAATTATTCTATGCCAAGTTCATTAACTATAAATTATACGAGATTAGATTATAGTTTATACAATAATATCATATACGAGTATAATTATGTTTGATTAGATTACTAATGTTGCAACGCGACACAAAACAAAATTATGGTTTTCGTGTACATTAAACACAAGTCCTTAATTTTTAGAACCCCCCCCCCTTCCAATTTATTTACCGATAAACGTTGTTTGTCTTTTATACAAAAGGTTCTATGGGTACTTAGAACCTCTCAACCTCACCTATCGCCTATCGCCTATCGCCTAGCTGCTTATTGTCATTAGCTGTGTTATCTTGTTCCTTCAAATTCATACTCTGTTTTAATTCTACTTATCCGTATAGTCCCTTGTCAACTTGTTCCAGATTTTCTCTAATCGAAGCTATATATCATCTGCAAAACATTGTACACTATGATATCTCTTCTCACCTAATGTCCCCGTGCACATCCGAGTTCTGTCGACCACGGCACCCAATTGAAGTAGGCTTTACCCTAGGTAGTGGGTAGCCTAGTCCTATATCCGGCCCTGTACGTAGTTGGGAAATGTCCCGTGATAACTGTCGTAGCCGCAAACGACGAATAAAGAACGAGTAACGACACACGCGACGTTTGAAGGTTTTAGTATAAATCGTCGGGTCTATCGCCGCGAAACGCGTCTTATCGAAATATCGTTTGGATGATAAACGCATTCGGTCACCCGCATATTGTGATCTATAAGCGTGTATCTATTTTTCCGGATGAGATATTTTAAAAAACCCTCGTGACGTTCTTTTCGAAAAACTGTCTTGTGTATATTGTCTTTTTTTTTTTAGATCCTGAACAAAGCTATTTTGTTCAGTGTAACTACAAAAAAAAAAAAAAAAAAAAAAAAAAAAAAAAAACACTAATACGCGAAAACTTATTCGCTAAAAATATTAACTATCTAAAATAAGAAAACGAATTGTTTAATTCCATGACCAAATTAACAAGAAAAACCGTTCGTTTGAATGAAAGTTTTATTCAATTTACATTATAGTACAGTACGTTATATTGCGAAAATTAATTGATGTATTTGTTATATATGGTTTTATAATAAAAAAGCTCCGGGAAAAATTGCAGAAAATCTAATAATGCCTCGGAGCAAAAAAAGATAAAAAAAAAAAAACCGCTAATACTGCAAAAAAACCGATCTGAGCGTGGTTCGTTTACATCGTATATTTCAAAGGTCGTAATACATACGATTTTCGTCGAAACCGGATCTTGAAATAACAAATTTAAAAGTCTTACGAAAAAAAAAATGAATTTGTACGGTCAGTTCCGCTCTACATTTTTTTTTTTTTATTTTGCCACTAATAGTGCGACTATTATAATGAACCTCCTGTTAAATATTCAACGTTGAGTTTCTGGGCGGTCGGACAACTGTACGGGTATATCCGCATGCCCTTAGTACCGAAAAAGTAAAAAGGCGAAATAAGATCCCTAGTAAAGTCAACCGTTCCCCTTATGAAAACAATTTTAAATGTTTGTGGTAAAATTCGCAAAATGTTCGAAACAATTATCCGCCGCCTCAAAAAATTAACCGCAACCGTTCCGTCCCCGACTCCCTCCTAATTACGGGTCCACAGAGCGGATATTATATTATTACGTTATTATAATACATAAATTGCAGACGGTAATAATATTGCACTCTGGGAAAATACGCACCGCGTTAATCGTACGTTACGTTTCCGGTTTATTTATCACTTGGCAACGGTTTTTTTTTTTTTTTCAGTTTTTGTACATTTGCTAACCGACAAATTCAGTCATCGTGTGCATTTAACGTTGAGTCCGAAAGGTCGTTTTTCGTTTTCGCTCTTGTTTCGATTCGATGTTGACATTCTCTCGACAATCATTAATAAAACATTCAACAATCCGTTTGTTTCAACAATTTTCAATAGTTTGTCCGAGTGGTTATACCAATATGACAAAAGCGATGTTTCCCGCGACGTTATGTCTGGTTTTGTTCGTGGCGAAATTCGTTCGGTGGTTGCTGTCGTTATTCATGTACGGCATAGTTATGGCAGAAGCATTAGTACAATTCGCCATCATGTTGATAAAGTATGTGCAATTGTGTATTTTTTGTTTTTTTTTATAAAAATAGCCGTACAAAATTAATTCCCCAACTGTTTCTTCCGGGTATTTAAAACGATTCGTATGGGCTTACACGCAGGTTTTGTTGTTAAAATATGAAAATTGCATTTTTTTTTTTTTTTTTGTTTGTTTGCGGATTTCCGTTGGTTATTATAAGAATAAAATTTGTCTTTTTTTTTCAATCCTATAACAAAATCAAATTGTAATTATTTAAAGTCACCGTTATACTGCAAAACGCGTATACGACGGGTACATATTATATAAAAAGAAAAACACATTTTGTTTGTCCTGCACGGTCATTTCCAAAACCATGCGTGGGTACCGATCGATTCGTACGAGGTATTTGTTTTTTTTTTTTCTTTAAAACGGTTTGTCGTTAATTTCACGGGGAATGTAAACACAGATACAGACACAGTATTATATTATTTTTGATATTTTTAATGTTTTCGAAATTCGTGTACCCACCGTTAACGATAAATCGTAAATTTATTTACAGCGAACTCATACGAAAGTTGGAACCAAAAACGGCTATTCTCGATACGCGCAAAGTACCCTCTGAAACTTCAGATCCGCACACTACCGTCGGTCAGAGCCGGACCGTAGGCACAACGCGACGCGTCATACCGCCCGCCGAAACACGGCCAACCGTCGATCCGTCAAGTGAGTGCAGTGATTATTATATAAAACTAAATGTCCAACATCGGAATCGTGTGTATGTTTGTAAAGTGAATCGCTTATTACGCCGAAGTTTGAACCGATTAGAACACTACCTACGCACATTATAAAAACGAAAATAACTACAGTAAAAAATTTTTCCCGACACGAACGTTGGGTTAGGGTTTATCGTGAATTCGAAAATATATCATCTCGAATATAATATTGAGGAGATGAGAGTTATTGAAACCGTTCAAATTTTTCCGGTTTCGTTAAATTCGATAGTTATTTCGTACCATTTTACGACCACCTTAACGATAAGTCTGTTCGTTAAACTATATAACCGTCCGAACACTATCGTTTTTATACGGACTTTAAATTTAAAATAATATTCAGTCAAAATATCCGCAGGAATATAATTTACGAATAAAAGAAATTATACTCTTTGTATACCCTATACTTAATTTTTATTAGCCGTCAACGTGTCGAGTTCTATACAGACCGACAAAATTGAAGCGGACGGATCTGTGAAACGCTGCAAAGAAAATATAGATGCTATATTTAACACGATGGATGAACGCAATCTACTAACCAAGGTCACTATTATTATATTGTTATTTACTTACTTGAATTAAAACTTGTACGAACAATGTCACTAAAATACGCTGTAGCCGGTTTAATATGTCAATAATTTTTTTTATTTTATTTTATATCTTATATAGTGTAAAGAAATAAAAAAAATTATCTTTGAAACCAAAGAGAAATGTTTACCGTGGTTAGCACGGTATATCATTACGAAACGCATCAGCGTAGAATCAAGTCATCATAGCATGTGCTTAAAATTGTTGAACATATTAAACAACGAAATTCTCACGGAATTAATAACGCTAGAAACTGAATCAGATATTAAAGTGAGTAGGAACATTTTTTTTTTTGTTTGACTAGTTTTTATATGATAATTATGGAACAGATTATATTAAATCAGAATCCGTAAAAAAACACTAGTGGAATACTTGAGTAGTTTTAAAAAGTTTAAAAATTTTTTTTTTTTAGAACACGTACAAATTTATTTGAAAAAAATTATTTTATTTTAATCTTTTTTGTAGCGCTTTTTGTGGATTTTAGGTGTATATAAATCCGTTCTCCAATGATAATGAATACGACTTATTTTAAAATAATATCTCGTGTATCTCGATAGGCGTTATTAAGCAAAGATGAGGAGAGTCCTATATGTAGGAAAACTTTGAACAATTTGGGAAGTTGGTACGGGATGATGACCCTGGCCAAAAACAAACCGATCGGTAAGACGTTTGAAGACTTGAAGACGCTACTGATAAAGGCGTACCAAGAAGAAAAACTGACGTACACTCTGCCGCTTGTTACGAGAATTCTTGAAACATGCGCTAATAGCACAGTATGTCGAATACGTTTCGTTCTTATCGATTTAATTTCTGATAATTTGTTGGTATAGTA